CAGGACTGGAAATCGGATGGACCCAGAGAGCACACGCGGCCGAGCAGTGCCAAAGTGGGAGGGAGGAGAGCTCCTTTCTGCTCATGGGCTGCTGGCAGTAGGTTTTTGGGGGTTTTTTTTGCAGGGAAATTGGGGGTTCCTACATCAGGGAGAGGGCTTAAAGCATGGGCTGGGTCTTTCTGAATAGCTTATGCTTGTTCTACAGTTCAGGAACATAAGCATGGGACTGAAAATCCCTCCACTGCCTCCAATTATCCTGAAATAAGGTAAAGGAGGTAGAAACAGTTGCTGCTGGTATCAAGTTTCACATCTTAAAAGCCACCTTCGGGATGGCCTACCTACACCCACGGCCAGCCTTTGTCCTGACGCATTTTGCTTCTCAGCAACCGACACAGCCTCTCCCCTCTTCCTTCCCTAGTTTCCAAGAGCTCTAAACCAGGATGCATATACTTATGGAGCTGGAGTCGCTCTTTTGACGCAAAGGGGAAAGGATACCAGCGAACGGTCTCTGCAGTTATTCTAGCCGAGCTCGAGTGGTCCACGACAGACCTGTCCTACCTGACGCTCAGCACCTGCCCAGGTAGGCAGCACCCTTCCTCGGGGCAGGCAGCCAGGCCGTAGCGTGGGTCACGGTTGATGTTGAATGGCTGTGCATGCCTTGTGCCTGTGGGAAGAGCCCGTATTTAGAGGCAGAGGCCTGGATTTCCATCCCCATCAGCGAGCGGGTCTGGCCTCCCCTCTGCTGGCAACAACAGCCCTCAGCTCCCTGCCCTGCAGCTCCAGCACAGCACCAGCTGTATATAAATAAGTAATACATAAATGCAGCTATTGTATCTGCCATACAACAGGGCAAGAGCTCAGGCTTACGGTGTTACACTGACTGTAGAGTCTTCCTTGTACAGGTCTTCAAAGCACGCAGAGCTGACGGCTTAGCCCTGTAGCTTTTCTAGAGCTGCTTTAATGCTTACTGCACCTGAAGCGAGGGCTAGGAACACCACAGGCAGGGCAGCTGGCTTTTAAGACTAACAAGGACTAAACAAACCCCATCCAATTGCCACTTTCCAAAACAAAAAAAGTCTGAGAAAGCCAGAAGAATGCCAAAACATTTATCACCGGCTTTTCTTACTGGAGTAAAATAGCTGCTTTATCTTTAAATTAATTAAGCTTTTTTTTCAGAGCAACGTAAATTAATATATTTGTGCTAGAATGTTGCGGAAACGTGACATCCTCCCCGGGGATCCTACAGCACTGTTTTGAGCTCTGCTCTATGGAGGCGCGGACTCGGTTCCACGCTCGTTTTCCAGCTGCTTCCTTTGGTCTTACAGCAAAAGACTACGTGTTCTGTGGGGACGAGAAGGGAAGCGTGTGGTTGTACCACCTCTCAAACTACACCACAGCGTGGAGCTCTGCAAAGGGAAAACGCTCAGACAGGCGCATCCCTCCCACGCAGGTAAGTCTCCTTTACCTTTAGGGCTGAGCTGGGCCACCCGCCCTCCCCGCTGCAGCGGCCCTGAGGCTCCTGAGCAGGTTTACACAACGCACTTATTGTCTGTCTACCCAACACGCACAAGCAATTAAAAGCAATCTCCAGAGCGTGACCAAGGCCATATTTCAAATCTCACGCAAACACAACTGTGACAGGAATTAGGCACTGTAAAGCACTTGCCTTCTGCAGCTTGACAACTTTTCCTAGCGGAAGGGCCCTTGGTAAAAAGAAAAAACAAAACCCAAAACTGGTGGTTAAACTGGAGAGCCTGAGAATACAGAATACAATGTCTGGTGCAGGCACCACTTCCCCGAGGGGCGGGAAGCCAGAGCGGCTGTTCCCCAGCAGAACAGCACACAGCAAAGGGCACGCACACACACGTGTGCACGCTCTCGATCCAGAGCCTGGTCTTCAGCTACCATTGTAGAGAGATACGCGTTCCATGAGCGTTTTTGGAAGTGTATTGCCCAAGTCAAGAGTCAGTTCCTCCAGGAGTGAGAGGCAGCTGCCTTCGCTCTTTCCTTTCTGATGAAGGAGCAGGACGTAAAGCTGCACCACCTCCCTCAGACAGGGGAAGAACCTTCTACTCTGCTTCCCCAGGTCAGTAGGGAAGCAGATTCCACAGAAACCCAATCATCATAGAATCACAGAATCATTTAGGTTGGATCCTCAAGTCCAACCATTAAACCTTGCAGTAATTAATAACCTCCCACTTTCAGAGACAAAGCCACCGCTCCTTTCCTACCCAAACTCTGTTCTCCTCATAGATTCTCAAGTGGCCAGAGCTTCGAGCAAACGGGGAGCAGCTGACTGAAGTCCTAATAAACAATGTGGTGGCAGACCCTACTTTTACTTACCTTGTCGTTCTAACTAGCGTGAACATAACAGCGATTTGGAAGAAGTCATAAGTCCTTGTAACAGAGTTTCATTCCCGTGCTTTGAACTAGTGCAGTATTAGTGACTGTTACCCATGTAACCATCAAGTTTTCTAGACCAGCTATTATGTGCAAGAGAAAAAAAAAAAGGTAAGAGTTTGTTAAACTCATCAAGTCATTGTAAACATCCGGTTTCTTTTACTGTAAGTTTTCCACAATTTGTGCATTTGTTTTATAGAAATGACACTTAATAAAACAAAATACTGGTTCCGTTGGCAGTGCCTGGATTTTTTTGGAACGGAAAAGCAAGGAGTTCCTCTACCGCCAACACCCAGCAGCTTCTCGTTCTGGAAGTACACCCACAATAAACTCGCCAACAGCCCCAAAAAAATATTTGCCTTAAGGCTCCAATTAGAAAAGTAGAAATCATTTTAATGACTTATCCATCAAATCAAACAAGACATTTATCCTCTTGGCAAAGCGCCTGCCTGGTATAAAAAAAAAAACAAAAAAACCCAAACACCTCACAATATCGCTGCTGCTGTCAAAAATTAAATAAAAGTGGGACAAGGGAGAAAATATTTGCCATGAATGGAGGTCTGAATACAGCATTCACCCAACAGATGCGTCATTCTGCCTCAGCAACCCAGTCTGCTCTAAATGGGGTGACTTTACTCGATTCCTTCTTGTTTGTCCTTAATAGCAACCTGTAAAACAAAAAAATAAACGCACTAAGACAAGAACTGTTACTGCGCTGGAGGAGGTCAGTTTAAAGATTCCTAACAGTCTTCTGTGAAACAAAAGCGCCACTGCAAAGCAGCAGTGGAAATCTCTACCCCATCCAGGAAAATAACACTTAAATCAAAACGTGTTTACGGAAGTGGTGCGCTGTTACCGTTTGCCTGTGCGTCAGTGAACACCACCCAGATGGGATCCTATTCGCAGTGCCCCCGGTTTTGTCTGAATTGCCTTTCAGGCAGATTTAAGTCTCAAAAAAACGTGGGGGGCTAAATAAGTACGATTGCACAGTTGAGCAGAATCAGTGAGAAGTGGTCAAAAAAACCCCCCAACAAACAAACAAAAAACCCCACAGAAATAAAAAAAAAAAAACCCTGTCCCAGAGTTTTGGCAGGAGAAGTAAAAAAAAAAAAAATAGAAAACTGTTTTCTACACCAAGACTGTGAGGAAAAAAACCCCAAAGCTAATGCCAGCCACCTAGGGAATTACAGAGCACCCTGGAACCCTTAAACATGGAAATAAACCTTAAGAGCCACCGTGCCTTGACAGGAGCTAAAGAACAGGCTGCTGCGTGGCTTCGATGCATTTATTGACTTAAAATAGCAGCTCTGAGCTATACTCCCCCCTCCTCCCCTTGTTTAACTTTGAATTGCAAGAAGTTCAAATATTTTTAAGGGGGGGGGGGGGGGGGGGGGGGGGGAGAAAAAAAAAAAAAAAACAAACTTACCCTGAACCTCTCCTCCAGGAGGGAGAGCTCACTGATCAAATCCGTGATGGCGTTGGTGAAGGCTTCCTGGGGGCTGTAATCTGGGGTGGTTTGGACCCGGATGATGATTTTGTGTTCCAGCGGGTGCGGGACCTTGTACCCTGCAAATAACACCTGGGGGTCCTTCAGTAACTGCCTGGAATGGAAAAGCAGCAGTGAACAACCACACAAAATACAAGTTATTTTTATATTAAAAAAAAATTGAAAAGCCAGGTTTCTGATGGGCTTTCCCGACACGCTTTCTAACAAGGTGTTTGTGGAGGTTAGTCCCTCACTTTTAAAGGCAGAACCGCTTTGCCCTGACCTGCCAACTGGATCACAACCTGACTAAACTTTCTGAGGAACAAAAAGTCCCAATCCCCCCCCAAATTTACTCGCCCTCGCCCCGGGCCTTAGCTCACGACTTGATGATGTTCCCCAGCGTGTGGTCCTCCTTGTTGATGGTGAACAGGCAGGCGTTGGGCACCTTCGTGTCCTTGTTGATGGTGATCCTGAGCGGATACAG